ACTTAGAAAAATCTCTAATCTCTTCAAAAATATATAGGGATAACATCAGCTACATTGAAAGTTTATTGTGACATGGGGAATAATTGAGATGTCTGGCCTGTAACAGTACTGAATAAAGGTAGCTATTAGATAACGGTTTTGTGATCATGGCCAAACCAAGAGCATTACTAAATACTAGGTAATACCTATCAAAATTCCAATTTGAAACTAACAATGCACTTCATTGTTCAGTGCAATGAAAGTTTACCACTTAAGGGGGGAAAAGTCCTCGATTATTGAAAAAAAAAATCACTTTGAGTTTTTCTGAATACACAATAAGAAACACAACCCTAATGAGCAGGTACTTTCATGTATTTAATCTTCATAACAAACCATCTGTAGACATAAAGTTGTACAAGGTCACGAGATTGGTAAATGGCCAAGCTCAGGGCAGTTTGAGTCCAAAGCTTCATGTATTCTCCAAACCCCTACCCTGCCCTGCTACAGGACTATGTTATAATTTAGCATAGTTCATATAGAAGTTCAGTGCAGTATTCAGATAAGGTATTCTAGGGACTTATTTTGAAGCAGCTATAATCTTTTTCATGAATACATCTAGTAGCACTGGGTTTATCTATGGTCTCACTATTAAACAGTAAAGAAATTCCCAAAATGTACTCTTGACAGCAGGCCAAATCTATTGTTTAAGATATGTTTTTGTTTGTTTTGAAATGTTTTATGAAAGGCCAGGCTTCTCACACACCCGTCAACTCCCTTAGCTGACGAAGATTGATCTAAATGGCTCCCTGGAGGTTACGATCATTCTATAAATGTGAGCCGAAGAGGAATTATATCTGCCCACAAATTAAAATGTCCTTTATAAAAGTCAATCTGGGGAGCTTGAAAATCTTAGTAGATGTTAAAAAAGAAAATCATCATGAAGATCTTGAAATAAGTTATACTTGGCTTCCTCTGGTTTACTATTACTTGAGAAAGTTTTGGTGCTAAGTGCTACTCTTTGTATAATTTCCCACCCATCTAAACTGTGTAGGTTAAGTAAAACAGCATTTGTTCTACTTCTGTTCTTTTTCAGGAAGCCAGATGAGGGTATAACTCCAGATGAGGTGTGACCTCCAGGCTTGCAGAGCTATTTGTAAACATGCATCAATATCAACTCATTTCAAGCAGCAAGCTGAACCATCCCTGGAGTAAATCTCATCGTGAGGTTTCCCAGTGAAATTCTGTTTCCCAATTAAGGTATGGCTTTAAAATAAGCACAGATGATACACGTCTGAATTCAGAATCATTGTATCTCAGGTTTTCTAAGATTTGCAGGTATTTAGGCAGTTCGGTTTAGATAAACTACCAACTAAGACAGGTTTTCTTATAATGCCCTTTAGAGTGGATTTTTATACTACCATTTAAAAAAGTGAGCTACATATAAGCGCTCTTAAAAGAACTTGTCAACTGAAAATAATAATATTCACCTGTTATTAGCATACAGTGGTGTGCACTGCCATTTCAAAACTGCCAGTGACTCATGTTACAAACGCAGCTATTTTTAGGACAGTGCATGAATGATGTTAACAATATTCCCTGAAAAAGGCACTATTTGATCAAGTATTTTGTGGACAGAAAGATGGATAAATACACTTGTTATATCTCCAAATTACTCTCAGTAAAATGTGTTCATTTGGCCACCTGCATGTCCTTGTTTTTTGCTTAGTCAATAAATCACACAGACATCAAAATATCAATCTGCTTTATATGAAAAACCTACATATTTATAAATCTTAAAGAAGAAAGATACAATCTCCCTAGAGGTTATATTGCATATTTGATGTCAAGTGCAGGGTGGTAGCACTCTGTATACGCTTGAGTAATCCTATTTGCACAAAGGATTCTCTCGCAAGTGTTATGGCTGTGAAACCCTAACAACTATATTTTAAAAAAGTTATCACAACTAAATGTGACTAAGCAAAAGTCTAAAACATTACTATTATTTTTTTTAAAAAAATAAGATTAAACATGCAGTAGAAAGGATTTATTAAAAGCGAAAATTAGTAATGGGGAAACCCATCCTTAGAAATTCTATGGCCAGCAGCCATGTGATTACTACTGATTCTAAACTTCTTAACAAGCATACTCTATTATTTTTGTTTGTTTTCATCACAAATGAGAGTCAATTAGCCATTTTCTCATTTGTCTTTTTGGAAAACTTAAAGCTTAAGATAAATGCCTGGACTGTTCCCCTTACATTAAATTGGGACACTGGAGAAAAACATTACACTGACTGACACCAGGATTACTGGTTCCGACTAGAAGTGCTGACGCAACCTTCAACACACTAGGACACAAAAGACATGGTTCTGCTTTGGCTTAAAACTATAAAGCAGGTTATAAAAGCAGCAAACGACGCATATTTGGTACCAAAATTAAAATGCAGCTTTAAAATAATGGCCTAGGGGAAAGTTTCTGTAGGAACTGGGCCTAAGTAGGACATACTGTCCTCAGTAAAAACATTCCTGAAATTTCCCTTCCGTAAATACAAGCTGGCCTCTTCACAGGCAGTTTTAATTCTAATTAAGACAAAGGTTTTTAATTAAGCCCTGATGATCCTGGTGAAGGGCCTTCTGTAAAACTGTCCTTGCTGGTTACTCCCGAGGTAATTCATTTCGAGAGACAATGAAGTGGATCTCTTAAAATCTTCAGAGAAGACATTTCCCTCCCTGCTTTCTGCTACTCCACACAGCAAACAGACTGAGAAGAGCTGCTGGCTCTTTGGAACAGGCAAGGAAAGCACTGCTCGTTTCAATTCAAGTCTCCCTCTTCATTTCAAAACACTGGTGGATAGAAGCTTCAAGTCCATGGAACACTGGAAGAATGCCCATTTTGTAAAGTGGGGAGCTAGAGCAATTTCTCATATCTTGTTTCCTTCTCCCACCACCACCTTGGGGAAGAAAAAAATGAACTGCTACTACATAAAGAAAGCCAAGAACTTGTTCCAGATAGCCTCAAACCAACCACCTCTACTCTTTACCCCACCCCCATTTGCTTATGAAGTATACTTTTTCTAGGATGAAAACTAGTTTTGAAGCAAAATAAACTAAAGCTGAGTTTCAGGAATCCAAAGAGGAGTAAATGCTGGGGTATGAGTTTCAGCAAGAGGGCAGAATAACGGATTTAGGGGAAAACATCAGAAACTGTACCAGGCTCTGATTTTTACCTTGCCCAGTCCTATTATCACTACATTTGCATTAAGCTCCTGTCTCCCTATTTTCTAGCCTAGAGAGGGAAAAAACGCCGAGATAAATGGGTATGGAGGCAATTAAGGAAAGATTAGCAGGCACTGCATACCGCTCAAAAACACGAACTGGCTTCTCCCCATGCCCCACATTCCTGGCCAAGAGAAAAGGATCAGGGCCTGAAAAGAAAATAAGAGTTGAAGCTGGTTTCTTTAACCTAGCTGAAAAGTCTTTATGCAATCAGGGGGCTATTATTTCAGGAGACAGAAAGGGGCAAAAGATTCACGTTGCTTAGGAGACACTCTGAAGCTGGCATTCCTACATAAATTTCCATTTCTATTGGAGAGGGGAAAGAAAAGATATTTTCTCCAAAGTTTATTTGGATCCCTTGGTTACTGAAGAAAGGCATTTTACCGATTTATTTTATCTTGAGTTGTAAACAACCAACCCTGAAAGAATTAAAAGACCTAAATGTTGACCTCCTGCTGCCAACCAGTCCCCTCCACAGTGAATTAAGCAACAAAGCCGAAAACCTTCAATGGGAATTTTGAAGAAATATCAAAGAAAAAGCCTTTTGTCAACAGAAAATCAAATTTATGGCAGAAACTTAACCAAGTGAACTAATCTCTCTTATAACAAGAAACCAAAGACAAAAGTCAATCAGATTCTTGGAGATTTCGTGCTATTTCAACTTTCATGGAACTTGAAACGTTTCCAGTAGAGCTTTATAAATAGTCCCAGGGAAGACATGAAACTGTCACGAAGGAATTTAATGAGTTTCTCGGGAGTGCGTGTGTGTAAGTGTGTAAAATCATGGGCAGGTCCTCTCTTTTTATTCCCCTTTCTCTGCACTGATACACCAGCAGCTGAAGAATCAAGATTAGCAAGGAAAAGGGTTTGCAGCAAGAAATCGGAAGTTGGCAGAATTCTGCTAAGGGAGTAACTGGGGCGCAGGGAAAGGCAACTGGGGGTCGAGTAGAGAGTAAAGGCCCCCTGAGGCTGGTAGCCCCAGTGACTACCTTCTTCTCCACCCTCCATCCCATCCATTTGCAGCTTCCAGTGCTGGCTAAATAAACTATGAAGTTCCAGGCTTCTGTGAGTAGTTCACGAAGAGAAAGAAAGGTTTGGACAAGAGAGGAGGTACTTGGAGAGAAGAGCAACTCACAACCAACGACGGTGTCACCAAAAAAGGAATGGAAATTAAGACTGTCCCTCTCCCAACTCTCCATATCCCTCGGAAGTGTAAGGAAATAAAGTCCAGACCGAAACGCACTGGGGAAAACTCAGATAAAATGGAGTAGAAGACGCAGGGACGTGGGCACTAAGACGTAAACTCAGGCAGATGCCTCCTGAGAGAGGAGGGAGAGAGCCCGGAAGACCGGGAGAACACAGAGCATCCCGGTGGAGTTGGGGCGTTTTTGCTCTCTTTTAACGGGGGTGCGGAAGGCGCTGCATTTTTAACAAGGCCACAGAGTTCTCGCCTTAAATGATAAGTCACTCCAAATAGGATATGTGTTACTCCAGGGCCCCAGGAATGGCCACAGGAGGAGGGAGAGGGAGCGGGACAGAGCCTTGGGTTTGGCAACCAGGACTGGGGAGAGGAAAGGGGTGGACATCAGGGAGGCGGCTGGAGCCCGAGGGTCCGCAAAGGGCCAGGACGGGGCAGACAAGGGTAGGGGACACACAAGGTGAGGAGAGAGGCGGAGGAGGTCCTGGCAGTGGGGCGCAGGGCAGTTTGGGGCGGGAGGCGGCGGTCGCAGTGCGCCGGGCACTCACCGCTGCTGAGCGTGGACTCGCAGTGCCAGATATCCAAGCTGGCGGGTTTCCGGCAGGACTCCCACAGGGACAGGTAGTACTGGTGGTCGGCCGTGACCCAGGCCGGGCTCAGCACAGCTCCCAGGTCCAGACACAGCGCCAGGAAGATGCACACCAGCCCCACCAGCTTCAGCGGGATCAGCACCGACACGCGCACCTCCTCCATGCCGCTGCCCGCCGAAGCCATGTCCCGGGCGCCGCAGCCGGCCGGCCAGCCAGAGGCGAGGACGTCAGGCGGGTCCGGAGAGCTGTGAGCTCGACCTCTCTAGGAGGGAAACAGCTCAGCTTTATGGCTCGCGCCTCCGGCTGGTAGGTGGGTCTTCAGAGGCTGGCAGGCGGGTGGGTGTGGGGAATGGTTGGCAGCCAAAGCCACACCAAGCCTCCTGGGACCTTTGCGCCCTGCCTGCGCCCGTTGTGCTCTGCCCTGCCCTTTCTTAGCTGCAGGAACCAGCACCGAGAGAGGCAGAGCGGCGGTCCGCACACTGGCAGGTGTCAGCCTCCTACTTCCAACGCCAGAGACTGGAGCCTCCCTGCCTTGCCTCTGCCCAAGGGCTCAGAGCGAATCTTCGCTTTTCCTATCCCCCCACCTTCTGCCCTGTCTCAGCTTCTGCAGGTCTCCCCTCTCATATATCTTGTATAAGTGGAAACATACAACACTTGTCCTTTTGTGTCAGGCTTTTTTTTACTTAGCATAATTTTTGTAGCATGTATCAGAATTTCATTCCTTTTTCAGACAGAAAAAGTTCACAATCACATGATATCATTTATATGTGGGATAGCGGCTCGCGCAGAGCAAGTCCACTTTCCCCGTGCCCGGCGCTTCCCTCGGAGCCCAGTGCGAGCCTTCCGCCCCCGACCGGCTGCGCCCCGCAATTCCTCGAAGCTGCCCGGCCCCTGGCCCCGCCCTTGGCTTTGCTCGCTCCGGGGTCGCCTCGTTTCCCGCCCCCACCCCCTCTGTCACGTGGGTTTCCTTTTCTTAGCAAGCTGGGTGGGTCCTTTTCTAGAAGGCCTCAGCTGTGAATTCGTAGGTTTCCTGGGCTGTGGCCCTTGGAGCAATCAGATGTTCTTCAGTCTTTCAGTGATGTAACACCATCCCCACCCTCTCCGCCCCGTCAATTTCTTATCCTGGGGAATTTGGAGGAAGGAAGAGAAAAGTGACAAAACGTATTTCGTTCTCTCCTTACAAACCCAGGACGAACCCAATCTCAGACCCAGAAATCCCCCGATTTTCCCTATTTCCTAACTTTCCGAGCCCGCTGCTGCTTCTCTGGACTCGCCTCCTTTTGCGCCCCCTATGAAGGGCGATTGCTCTGGGAAGGCAGGCGCTAAAATGGGAATGAAAGCTTCTGCAAAATGTGAAGTAAACATTACTTGCTTTCCCGCTGCTGTGTTCTTTGATTGTTGACTAAAATTGTTATTCATTTGGCTTTGCATTATGCCATGTTGGTTCTGAATCCCTTCCTGGGCATTAACCTGTTCTTGTGCCCCGCAAGACCTAGCCCAGGGCTTGGCATAGGAAAAATGGAATATCGTTAAGAAATCGGTCTACACATATTTATTGAGCACCTACTGTGCGCTCCGGGCTAAGGAGTCAACCAAATACAACCTTGACTCTGTTCTTAAGGAGATGCTCTATTTTTTCTCTAAATGTGAGGGATAAACACCCCTTGAAACTGAATTTGCCATTCTGTAATTGACTAGTTCAGCTTGTGATTGGTAGGTCATTTGTCTTCTGTATCCCTGACTACTTTCCATTTTTTCCTATAAAAGAAACTATTTATTGAATAGCAAATCATTGGGGGTAGGGGTGTCTCCAGACCTTTCGCCATCTGGAAAATTTGTTGAGAAACCCAAAATAGTGGTTAAGATCTGGAAAATGGAAGAAATGCCTTCTCCCTTTTAATGAAACACTGTCCTGGACACTGCAGGATTTCAAACTTTTTGTTAATAACCATTTTCCTTCTAATCACATCTTTCCATGGGCTGACAATTTTTTTGATCCAAGCAAGATTTTGAATGTAAGAAACAATTGAGTTAGTGTCAAATGACTTGAGAATAGGAATTAACTCAATGTGAAATAAAAACCCATGGTTTTTTTATATTTGGAAATTGGAGAACTGGTAATATTCCCCTACCCCTCAGTCATGATACTTACTGCCATTAATAAAGAATGCCTAGAGCACTCTGAGCTCCTTAACCTCTAACTTCTAACAGGCTCTTTGGCCTCCCAACCTCCCAAGGAGGAATAAGCCTAAGTGCTTCTCCTTGAAAACAGTTCCTAATGGAACACTGAAAAATTAAAAACCAGGATGATTAATATGGATGACCAGGCTCGTGATATTGTTCTTTTACCTGGATTTATGTTCATTGGCTGATAATGTACTTTTGAAAATAATATTTAAGAAAATGTCTTTACTATGCCCTCAAAGTTGAAAGAAATCTTTTTTTCTTCAATGTCCATCACCTTCCCTTTCATAAGTTTCGTTGCTAGTCAGCCGATGTGTTTTCTTTATCTATGTTGCTTCTAATTTGGGCTTTCTTCCACTTCCGCCCCTACTTTTGCTTTATTTTTCTGGCTTGTTCCCAACTGCTTCCTTGAGTGACTCCATCCTTCTTTGCACTACTTACAAACTTGTCTCTGTACTGTCTCCAAAACTAGAAAAATAATCCATTTGAACAACAAAAAGCCAACTTCTCAAAATACTTTATTCCTCTGTTAATCATTTCTAGAATTTGCACAACATAATACAGATCAACCATCCTTTATCCTAACTTTCAAAATATGAAAAGCTCTGACAAGACAAAATTCTTTTCTTTTTATAAGTTTGTAGTAAACTCATTTGGTGGAAAAAAATTTCAAACTGATATGAGGCTATTTATGGCTCTGATTTATTCCACTTTGTGTGAATAAATATGTGACCACACACCCTATTGGATGTTGTCTAATTTAGAGTATGTGCACCATAGCAAGGGCCCCCAACCCCTGGGCTGTGGACGGTCCGTGCCTGGAACAGGGCTGCACAACAGAAGGTGAGCAGCCCGGGAGTAAGCGAAGCTTCATCTATATTTACAGCCGCTCCCCAGTGCTGGCATCACCGCCTCAGATCCACCTCAGATCATCAGGCATTAAATTCTCATAGGAACACGGGTCCCTGGTGCCAAAAAGGTGGAGATTGCTGTGCCATAGTACCCTTCAAATATCTAAAAAGTCTGAATTCCTTAACACAGTTGGCCTCAGGTTTGAGGTAAGAGATAATGGACCTGCATGTACCCTAAAAATGGAAAAAGTAGAGTGGGGGATTCTAACAATTAATAAACATTGAATGAAAGCCTATCAAAAAAAATGATATCTGGCTCTAGTGGAATAGGAGGTGACATTTACGGTGTGTGTGTGTGTGTGTGTGTGTGTGTGTGTGTGTGTGTGTGTGTGTAGAGAGAGAGGTAGAACCAAGAATTGAAAGAGACCCATATCATAGAAATGATATGGGCATACACTGAACTGTGAAGAAAGTTAGAGTCCCTAGCTCAGGAGAATTTACTCCAGACCTCTTAAAAAGCAATTGTTGGCCTTGTACTATAGCATCACACAAAAGCCAGATCCTCGTCCCCTTCCCCGCACTTTTCACCTGAGTCTTGCCTAGGGTGCCATGTCACAATGGTCACCCCTATCCTTGGACCTCAGCGAGGCAAAGGCCCTAACTTTATCTCACAGTATAGGAGCTCCATGAAAATTGGGAGTCACAGAACTCTGACTTGCGGTTC